TATGGATATAATAGGTCCAATATCCTATGAAGGATATAAGAATATACAATATCTATTAATGTTAGTTGATGATACAACACATTGGGTATCTTTATTAAAATTATGAACAAAAGACAACACATATACTCAGTATGTTCAATAGAGTACAAACATATTTACACAACACAGTATACAAATAAAACAATTGTAAAGTAATAATGATAGAGTATTCTGTGGGAAATTCTTCCAAGAATACTTAATTAGTCAAGGAACAAAATCCAGACTAACAGTAAAGCATACACTGTAACAGAATAGAGTAGTAGAACAAATGTATAAAACAATATTTAATCAAATACATGCCTCTATTACTTTGCAAAACATTCTATTATGCCTATGGACAGAAGCAGCAATGTTACAAGCATATATTCACAATAGAACTCCTCAAAGAGTAATAGAATATGTAACTCCTTATTATAAACAATACAGACACAATGCTAGTATTGACAACATACACAAATTCAGTCAATACATCATAATACAGAATGAAAACCTATCTAAAATTACAGATAGAGGTTATTATGGACAATGGATAGGTTTTGACAATAATTCAAAAGGTCACATTACATAGCATGATAGAAAAATAACTATCAAACATAATATACAATTCCTTAACACAAAACCTTTACAAATTGAAGGGGACTTGGAAGACATCCAAGAAAACAAGTTAAATATCAAGGAAAACAACAACAAATCTGAGTCCAAAGGACCTAGCAACAGAGACAAATACTGCTGCCAAGTACACAAACAAGGACAGACACACATTGAAACAAAATCCAAAGGAAACAAGATAGGATTGGATGTTCTGGAAACCTAAACAAAAGCTCCCCAAGTAATCAAATGTCTTTGACACGTTTCTCCTAGACACAACAACCCAAACTATTACTCTGAAACAGCTCCTCATTTACAACAGGACCTTAGTGTATCCACAGAGGATGAAGCAATACTCTCAGAGAAAGCAAATCACTAATAGAAAATACAAAATATGTGGAAGTTAGTAGAAAACACACAATACAACAAATCCAATTGAGAATCAGACAAAACTATACAACTAAGACACTCTACTCGAAAGTGCAAAATTACAGAACGTTTGGGTGAAACAAATTTACCTAGTAAACACTCAAAAGGTCTATCATATGTTAACAAAACAAATATTATGATTTATCTTAACAAATTTAACAAACTACATACAGAAATAATGACAGATCCATTATCATATAAAGAAGCAATCAACAGAAGTGATTGTGAGCTTTAGAATAAAGCTATGGACAATGAAGTACAACAATTAATATGATCCAATACTTGGGAGACAGTATATCCTCCTGATAATGCAAATGTTATTAGAACACAATTTGTATATAAAACAAAATGTCTAGCAGATAATTCTATCGAAAAACAAAAAGCTAGATTAGTTGTACAAGGAATATTTCAACAAGACAGCAAAGATTATTATAATAATGATCTATTTGCACCCACTGTACACATATCTTCAATAAGACTTGCTATTGTATAGGGATGTTCAAAGAACTACAAGATACATCAAATAGATGTTAAATCTGTATACTTAAATGGAGAACTAGATAATGACAAAATAATATTTATTAAACCTCTACTGAGTGATTTAATAAAGTTAAAACCTGGACAAGTATTACAATTGCACAAAGCATTATACAGTTTAAAACAAGCTGGACAACAATGGTATAAAACTCTATGCTGAATACTTAATACAATTGGTTTTACACAATCAGAATACAACTTTGCAGTATTCTATGTAAAGAAGAACGAATGTACAGTTACAATACTATTAGTTCACATTGATGATATAACTATTGTTGTGCAGAGTAATAATATTATCAATATGATTAAAAACTCTCTATGATTGTATATAGAAATTACAGACAGAGGCAAATTACATTGGTTACTAGGTATAGAAATCAAACACAATAGAAACAAACGAACAATAATGATGAGACAAAGACATTATATCAAAAACGTATTACTTTAATATAACTTGCAAAACAATAGGAATTTACAAACACCTATACAACCAAATACTCAATTAGTTACAGACAATAATCTACCAGAGGATGAACATGCATTTATGTCCAAGATACTGTATATGAATATGGTTGGATCCTTGCAATATATTGCAGATTGTACACAACCAGACATAGTGTTTATAACATCCCAACTCACAAAACATTTAAAACACCCAAGCATGTTACATTACAATACTGTAGTGCATTGTATACAATACTTGAAGGGGACCAAAGACAAATGGTTAATCTTTGGACAAGGAAATCATAATAATATCACTGGTTATATGGATGCAGACAGAATGATGCAAGAAAATAATAAAGCAATATCCAGATACACATTCTTCTTAGGAGAATTGCTCATATCTTGGTCAAGTAAAGGACAGAAACTAGTATCCTTATCTATGTACAAAGCAGAAATAATAGTGCTATCAAATGGAATACAAGAAGCTATAGTATTACAATACCTAGCAGATAAGATACTACAGATCTCTGATGCACCTACAAATATTTATTGTGATAACCAAGCAGTAATTAAATCTATAGAAGCAGACAAAACGAAATACTCAACAAGAACTAAGCATATTGGCTTACAACACAATTTTATTAAGTGTTATGTTGAGGAACAACTTATTAATATTAAGTATGTTCAAACAGACAATCAAAGGGCAGATATCCTAACTAAATCATTACATGTTCCAAAGATCAAACACCTTACAGACTTAATAGGTCTTGTAAATGTTTGAAGGGGACTGTTAACATGTATTATGATCAATGATACAATTACAGACACTACAGTAATGATAAGATGATTAATACACATACAATTGGAATGGACACAGAACAAAGAGACATGTATCAGATACACAATACAAGACATGTATTGGATACACAATAAGTATCAGATACAAGATAATGATACATCAGATGTCTAAGACATACAGACGAATGAATAACATAAAAGCAAGCAACTTAGTAACTAAATATATATCATTATCAGGGTCTACACCCTCA